AAAACCATAGAAAGTACCCTGCACAATTATTCAAAATATGTCGCACAATGCCACTAGTTGTATAATATGAAATTAAAGAGATTGAGATCTGAATAGTTTCTTGAATTCATGCAAGCAGTAGTCCAGTGGTAACTTCTAGCATAAACATTAATGGACATCAGTCCATGTCATCAGATGCATCATCATTCCTAATATGAGGACAAAACTAGATTTAATCTTCCATTTAATGTACATGCTTTTCAAAAATTAAACTTGCAAACATTAAACCTACTCTGCACATGCTGAGATTTTAGCTTGCCCAGGAACAGCTATGCACATTAAATGCAAACATATACTTAACATATCCCTAGTTTGGCCCTAGAGGATTGTGCCTGTAATTCACTGTAAGTAGCTGTAATTCACTAGGTAGCTGAAAGGTAGAGAAAATCCCTGCCATGGCTACTATGTGGTATTTTCCCATATTTTGTAAATGTTTCCCCCTCCCATTCTTAAAGTTTGAAATACCTATCCTAAGGCTAAGGCAGTAAAGGTAGCTATGTTCGAATTTTGGTCCCAATCCTTTGCTTTTCAAATATGGCCTCTGAGAACTCTAAAAGTGCATTCAGTTCAACTGAATTCAGTTTCAAGTTTGGCCGAAAGGGATACTGAAGAGGAATCCAACATGCCTTCATTTTTGCATTTGCTTAAGATGCTATAGCTCACCATGATGCTACCTTTCTGTGGTGATGGCATTGCATGCTTTGAGGCAAGAAGCTACACTGATGGTAGCAGTGCTTCTATCAGGGCATCCCATGCCAGCTAGGCTTTTGCTGAGGAACTAGAGTAAATATGCCAAACAGTTAGCATTGTGCATGCAATCATATTTCCAATTTCTATGAATGGTTATGGGAGCTGGCCAGTGAAGAAAGCTGATAGGAAGAAAATCAACTTGTCTTAGATATGGTGCTGGAGAAGAGTCCTACAGATACCATGGACTGCTAAAAAGACAAATAAATGACGGCAGTTATCCGTCTAAAAGCCTGAATTATCCCTAGAAGCCAAGATGACCAAACTGAGACTGTTGTACTTTGGGCATATAATGAGAAGACATGGCTCATTGGAAAAGACAATAAAAATGCTTCGTAAGGCGGAAGCCAGGAAAAGAGGAAGACTGCATTACAAATGGATAGACTTAGGGCTGATGAAGACTGGCCTAAAGGGCCAGCCTGGGGGTGGAGTTGGGGTGGGGCAATCGCACGCTGGCCGCCCCGCTGCCACCGTCATGCCATGTGCCCAACTGCATGGCGCACAGCGTCAGGGTGCCCCATTGGTGCAGTGTGCACACGCTGCGCCAAAGGGCCACAAAAGAGCTGTCATAATGGATCTAAGGGTGGCTTTTTGCTGCCCCAAAAAGGAGCAGCATTTGCCAGTTCTTTGGAGTGGCAAAAAAGGATTGGGGCCGCAGCATGTGGTTGCCGTAGCCCTGATTCTGCGCTCCCAGGGGCGGCACAGAGCCTCCCCTTACAGGTCATCTGCATTGGCACTTATTCAAGGAAGCTGCAGCCCTGAATCTGCAAGATTTGGGCAGAGCTAAAAAGAAGGAAGGAAGGAGAAGGGAGAAATGGAAATGGAAATGAGGCAGCACCTTTAAGACTAACTGGTTTTTACTTTTGCATGAGCTTTAGTGAATATAAACCCACCTTTTTGCATACAGTACAGAGTAGTACTGAGCAAGAGTGTTGAGGACAGGGTAACTTAGGTCCAAAACACATTGCAGAAGTAATCCAGTTGGAGACCACTTTAACTGCCCTGGCTCAATGCTAGGGAAGTCTGGGAATGGTACTTTTGCTAGACATTTAGCCTTCTCTGTCAGACCTCTGATGCCACAATAAACTACAATTCCTAGGATTCCCTAGCACAGCCAGGGCAGTTAAATTGGTTTCAAAGTGGATGTATTTCTGCAAGTGTATTTTTGACCTCAAAGGTCTCATTCATAGGTTCTCTATAAGTCAAAGTCAGCTTGACAGCAGTTAACAAGAAAAGTGCTACATGGATAACAGGGTGGGAATGTTGCACTGTTTTAAAACTACTGTTTTTAATTGCTTTGATCTTTTTAACTGCATTTTAATGAGTAATGTGTTTTAATACTATAACAGTTTAATTTATTTTAATGTTCACTTTCGTAGTCTTTTAATTGTATTCTTTTAAATTGTAAGCTGCTTTGATTTCTAATTTCGAGGAAAAAAGCAGGATGTTAATAAATATAATAATAAAATAATAATAGGCAATTCATCCAGAAGCTATTAGGTCGAGATTGCATACAGCGTATGTATCTTGTTCTTCCCAGGAACAAAAAAATAAAATACGGTAAGTTGTTCACTCATAAGAAAATTATAGCTGGCCAGTCTGACACCTGGCTTGGTAGATAACCAAACCATCAATCTGAAATGAATAGCTTGATGGAAAATTACCTCAGTGCATATGCTAATATGATAATCTTCACAAATTTTCTGGCAACTATTAGAATGTACAAGTCAATGGTATAAGGGCTGTCATTCTATACAGCAGCCTGACTATCAGAGTGTGAGAGAGAAATGCATTTCTTTTTAATAAAGTGAGATCCTTGATCATGAACTTGGCATCCTGACTGGACTAAATGTTGCAGAAGACAAATTCCCTTCGGTACTATCGTTGGTGTAGTGATTTGAACATTGGACTATGACTCTGGAGAGCAGGTTCAAATCCTACTGGGTGATCTTGGGCAAGTCACAGTCTCTCAGCCTCAGAGGATGGCAGTGATAAACCTCCTCTGAAGAAACATGCCAGGAAAATCTCATGATAGTTTTGCCTTAGGATCACCATAAGTTGGAAAAAACTTGAAGTCACACAACAAGAGCAACAAGAAACACACAATTGCAGTAAAGAGTATCCTCTCCCTGTGGTTATTTAAGTGCAGAAAGCATCTTCTTCATATGTACTTTTTTCCTTTTGAAAGTTTGACATATAAAGGATTAATTTCTCAGGTTGGTAGCTGCTCTGGAAGGGGTTTTGCTGGCAGTGGCCACCATTTTATGAAACCATTAACACCTGCAAGATGTGGAACCACAACACCTTTAAAAATGATTTTAAAATGCTGCTTATTTAGCTAATCCTTTTGTTGGTTTGTTAGGATTGACCAGTTACCAGCTTGGTTTTGAAATGTTGTTTCACTTTTGTTGTATTCATCCCTCTCCTTCAAATTGTAGTTTGGTTTTATTTTGTTCTCTGCCTGGAGAATCATTGAATTAAAATATTGTTTGTTGTTAAACAAACAAATAGGTTTAATGTGTCATTTTTAAAGAGACGTTAAATGACATGCTTTTTTAGGGCAAAAGACGAAACAAGGAAATTAGGACTTTCTTTTATTAAAGCAAGCATCAGAACAACAGAATCCTTGTGGTTCTAATTATTCTAATGAAAGGTTTTACTTTATAATTGTTTTTCATTCCTTGATGGTGTGGTATTTTGTAAACTTTAATGGTAATATTGTAATATTTTAATGTAAATACTGGGATTTTAGCAGGAAAAGTAGTGTAGATATAGCTTAGTAAGTAAATAAAATAAATACCAAGTGAAACTTCAAAGTTTTCTTTTCTCTACAGAGAGACCATGCCTTCAGGTCAACCCCAAAACAACCCTTTTAGCCCATGTGCATCCCCCCTTTGTTTAATCCATTTGTTTTCCATCTATCTATCTGTCTGTCTGTCTGTCTATCGATTCCTAGGTTTCAACTTCACTTACTGTATTTTGCTCCTATTTTTTTTATTCACATATAGATCTAAAGGAGGAAAATGATTTCCTATCTTAGCATGAAAAAAGATAGCACTAGATGTGTTAATTTTATTAGGTTATACTTCATTTTTAAATGTGCAAGCCACTGCTTTTCACAGGCCATCTGATGTGGCAGACCTTCATAAGGTGTTGTTAATTATCATTAAGTCAATTTTTACTTATACAGACCCTATGAATGAGAGACCAGCAAGTCACCTTGTTATCAACAGCCCTACTTGCAAACTCATGGCTGTGGCTTCCTTGATGGAGTCTTATCTACCTGTAATGGCTCTTCCTTTTCTCCTATTGTCTTCCAACTTAGCAAGCATCGTTGTTTTGTCTAACGAGTCATGTCTTCTCATGATATGCCAGGGACCATTACAGTGGTTTTGCCTATCACCTACAACTATTTCTTTCTCTCCTCGAAGCTCTCCGTCGACCAAGAGCCAGTGGCTTGTGAACCAGCATAAATCCGGGGACCCTCACTTTGAGCAGCACTATTGTAAACTTCAGTACGAGGTGACTGAAAAGCAAAATAAAATGTGTAAATAAATTGAATACATATTTAAACATATATATGATTGCAGAGGGAAGAAAGTACAGAGTGGCCAAAACATACATGTAACATTTGTCAACTGAATAAAACTCTTTGTCTATCTGATGAAGTGGACTTTGGCCTAATAAGGCTTCTCTAGCAATGAGGCTGCAGCCCTATATGGGCTTAACTAACGGTTATAGTCTCTGTTAAACTCAATGGACTTAACTTCAAATTTGGCATGTATAGGCTTGTGATGCAGTTTTGCAATCAAGCAGGAGTATGTGGGAATGCATACAGGCACATCCATGCATGAGTGCTTTGGATATTGTGGGATGAGCTCTCTTAAGCAGCTGTATTTTTCATTCCCTAGGAGGTATAAAAATAAATCTGAAAGAATCTGAGCAGTTGATATCATCACTGGATGACTCTTTTGTTTTCCTTTTTATACTCCGAGGCCTTGCCTTATTTAATAATATAATAATAATAAATTTTATTTTTAACCCGCCCCTCTGCAT